ATACTGGTTGTGTCTGCACAGACCACATGCAGGCTGTATTGTTACTAAACCCTGACACAGCACTACAACTTTACATGGCATTTTATAGAGAATACTTTTAAATGGCACCACTCTTGCTCTGTGGAGGGGCATTGAGAGCCAAAAACCCAGGGTCAGGTGTGTTGTGTACATGTTTTGTGCTAAAAGATGTAGCATATGTTCCCATACCACTTGTTCCTAGATATCAAAGACATGGAAAAAAGGGTGCAGCATCTTGTTTGTGCCCTCACCCCAACCGATGGTGTCCAGGGGATGGTGCTGGATGTGGTCCCTCTGTACTTGCAGAGCTAGCACCACCACCTTGCACTGGTCCTGAGTGAAGGCATTAAGAATGAGGAGAAATCTGTGTTTTTCTCCACTTCCACTCAGCACATCTGAGCGGGGATAAACTGGAGCCTACGCTAGTTTTCTCATATTTTCAGAGATGCCAGTTTTGCGCAAGCATTGGACAGGCTGGAGGTGAATTGGGGAAATCAAAAGATTTAAGTCATTTGTCAGTGTCCTGGAAGGACTGCCCACATGTACTGACAGCTGCCTGCAAACTTCCACAGAGAAGCATCTCAACCTTCACCTGCTGCACTACTGGCAATATTGGCTCCAGCATAAGCCAGTTTTAGCGGTTTGATGCTGAATTCATAAAAATTTTGGGATCACTGTCCTTGTAGCCATCTTCCTCGTTTGACAAATGACATACCTGTGTTTTGTGTCTCAAATGCTAGACAATGCTATATAAGTAAACGGCATTTTAGACTTTCCTGTGTAGTAGTCCCAGGGAAATCTCTCAGTTAGGAGCCTCTTGTTGAAAATCTTGTTGATGCATAAGGAACGACTCCAAAATCTTTGTGTCTAGGTGCTGCTTTGGTACTTCTGATGTAGGCACAAGTCTAATAATTCTGCTCGGTATACTCTAAACGCCTGTATATTTATCACAGATTGTTGGTGAAAATTGCTGCGGGGAAATCTTTTCCAACGCATTTCTCTGAATGATTAATATTTTCAGGTATGCAATGAAATGTTTAGATAAGAAGAGAATCAAGATGAAGCAAGGAGAAACACTAGCCTTAAATGAAAGAATTATGCTGTCTCTTGTCAGCACAGGAGTAAGTACTTATTCTTCATCTTCCTTATACTTCATAGACGTTAGGGCTGGAAGGGACCTCATGAGATCATCGGGTCCAACCCCCTGCCCAACTACCTTTCCTTACAGTGTTAAAGATATTTAGTCGAATATGCATTCCATTAATTCAATATTGCGTGGTGTAAAAGAAACAAGGCAGAAACAAGAGCCTGCAGTCTTTTCCTGCATGGCTTTCTTTTAAATGATTTTTTTTTTAGTATGTAGAAACCTTTGAATGATTTTTGCCACGTAGCTGATTCAAACGCTATGCGGATAATCCATTTAAATGGTAACATCATTTCTGTGTGTAGGGTGTTCTGATTTCACAAAGTCAGACATTTCATAAACATACCCTTCATTCTGGGCTGGGTAATCCTCAGCCTCTGCATGATTATTGTGGGATAATGTTGGCATGAATATTTTTGAGTTGGAACATGGCAAATAGCGGCATACAATTTGTTACCGATTAGCAGAAAAATCTCCCTCCCGGAGCAGAAATCCTAGCCAGACATTTTCACTGAAGTGTAGCTCGAAAGACTTTAGTGCTGTTCATTGACAGGTTGTGCCTCAGTTCCTCCATTTGTAGTACAGGGCTAATGTTGCTTATGTCCTTTGGAAAGCACTGTCAGACATACTGATGGAAACGTGCTGTGTATTATCTCGGCATTATTATTTTCCTCAGGCACACAGACTCCAAGTGCTTTATAGAAGCATTAGTGTAGTCTTTGAGGAATAAAGTGAGCATCACAGAAAGCTCTTAAATCTAGCTGATTCAAGAGAACTACTTGTGGTCTCTAGTGAGAGATGCCCCTAAATCTCTTGACCTGCTAGGATAAGACATCCTTTAAGACAGAGAGAAAAATCAGGACTGCTACCGCTGTAGAGGAGGGGGACATTGGTTGCTCAGTTTGTTTTAGAATTGGGATTAGTGCCATCTATTTCTGTATTTTAGAAAATCGTTGAAAATGTTTGCTTTATAAGAGAGCTCTTTAAAATTAATAGCTGAAGACCTCTTCAAAACACCATCTTTCAGAAAGTGAAATGTGCCTTTCACAAAAAACATCTTTTGTTGCTATAGCTGTATAAGTCATTGAGAATGCAAGACATTGAAGTAGCCCCTTCCCTTTCCTGGGACCATCAAATTAGCTTATCCAGTTTTTCTCTTACTGCTTGTTTTGTGGCCCTAACAGTCAATGTAACCGCCAGCATGTACAGTGAGAAGTTGCCTATGCAATATTGACATCAGCTTAAAAAATTTACATCAGTTTTAAATAGAAATTTTTCTTTTTGTTGCTGCAAGTCTGGAGTCTCAAGGTACTTGCAGAGGGGAAGGTCAGGTGGAGTCCACAAAATGCATGTTGTCCCAACTGATTGTAAAACACATGTTGAAGTGCTAGAGCCTCCAGAGTACAATAAGCACGTTACATGAAGCTTAAAATCAGTGTTATCACCATGGTTACCTGGGAAGTTGGTTGGAAGGTTAATTTTACTCATGATGATTACTGTGTTCAAATGAGAGTCACAGTTCGTAGCTCATTGTAAACGCATCCCTATGTCCCAGTTAAAAAACAAAAACAAAAAGAGGGGGAATTGCATGTTATCTTGTTTTAGACCTCTTGGATAATCGGTCTCAACTGCTAGAATTGTTACTAGCATTGCTTCGTAGACACCAAACAACTCCAAAATGAATAATTTACTGTATTTTAAGACATAATGCTCTGTATCTTAGTGAGATTACATTAATCTGATTTTTCTCTCTGCTGGTCTCAAAATCGCTTAATGAGTTTTTGTCTTTCCTGGCCTTTGTTTTTGTAGCATCTTGAATACTGCTTTTCCTCTTCTCTGCATGCCTGCTACTCCTCTGGATGTGGATGTGAGGAAGACGAGCAGTCAGTCTTGAAACCCATCCATGCACCAGTTCGGAAAGGCCCAGCTCCCACCAGCAGCATGCACACTTCTTTAATGGCCTCTCTTTTCCCACTCGGCAGTGGCTGGAGTGATGGTTTTATTAGGGCTGGAGGTTATCTGTCCCTTAGGGACAGTCTGTTCTTTCCTCATGCTCCCCTTACTCTCTCTCCAGTGTTTGTTCCTGGTCCTGTTTTCATTCCTTACTCTCCCTTAGTGATAGAACCAGATGAGGTGCCTGTATGAGGACGGCTCTTTCTAGATGTCTGCTAATGCCGTGCAGAGAACTGTTCACGTGAACGACGTGCATAAGATGCAAAAAGTGCATCTCGCTTAAGAGAGAGCTTGCTTTCAGGCACCGGATTCGGCTCTGCATGCACAAGACAGAAGCAGACTAGATATTCATAATGGTCCTATCTATCCTGAACCTGTGACTCCATCGCTTCACTTCTGAACATGGACTCAGATTCCCTTGGGTCCACCTCCTGTAGTTCAAAAGAAAGCTGTGTAGAGAAGTGGTCTGGTAGGAGATAAAACTCTAACATGACACAAAGTACTTGTCCATAGCCAGAGGAATGGCTAAAAACAGTTCGATTTTTTTATTTATTTATTTATTTATTTTTCTCCTAAGGATTATCAGTGGATTTTCTAATATAGCTTCCTTTCAGTTCCTAGGAACAGATGTATAAATCTCACACGTTCTTTTCCTTCTTTTTGAGCAAGTTAATTCTGGACAGATAACATGCCTGACCTTACCCCTTTCTGCCCACCTCACTAGGAAGTTTTCCTAGATCTGAAACGTGAACCGTAGGGCCTGCTGCCTAGCTCTACAAGGTCTTAGGGCGTCCTGACTGTTGGACTCGCTTGGCTTGTTTTGCAGATGGTAGAATAAGAATAAAAAACTCCTCTCACTGGGATGTTAGTCTTTGAGTGGCCCTTATTTTTCCTGCTGATAGGATTTGTGTGTTAAACAGAAAAGCTGCAGGGCTGGAAAATTCATTTCAGTAAAATTAGAGTCTTTTGGATGGAAATCCAGCCACCAGTCTGTTGCTGACTGCCTTTACTTTTCACGGTCTCTCATATAAAACACTGGCCTATGAATCAGTCACTTTAACTGTATGCTTTATGAGTGGCTGTCGGTGTGACCTGGGCAAGTTACTTTTTAATGCTTCTCTGTGCATAGTTCCTCTTTTGTAAAATGCGGGTAGCACTGTATGCATACCTCTCAGAAATTTTCTGAGTCTTAAAGTTTGAATTGCACCTTGAGATCCTCAGAAGATGCTGTGGAAGTGAGAAGTATTGCTAGTTTTGCATTTTCTGTAACAGCATGCCCAGAATTTCCGTTGAAGACAACCAAATACTGCCTATAATACTGAACTCAGCCAAGCCATCTCTTGTGATTGAGAGTCCAAAAAATCTGGTAAAAATATTTATTTAGAGGAAATGTTTTGCTGTGCTGGATGTTCTGCTAAAGGGGTAGCAAGTTGTCATCTGGGCAGCCGAGGTCAGTGGCTCCTCTGGGCTGCGTTCAACTTACTATCATCTCTCTGAACTTGCCTGCTGTAATAAGAGGAAACTGCATTCAAGCCTAGCTTATCTCAGCAGGCGCAGGGGCTTTAGGGTCAACCATGACGGAGGATTTTCTCAATGAAAGATAAGCATCAGGTCATAGCAGCCCGAGTAAGTGAGCTGAACAATAAAGCAGGTGGGATCAACTGTCAAATATTTTATCCAGGAGATCAGGCACTTTATCTGCTATAATGATTCCTAGAGACATTTGTAATGGCCTTGAATTCATAAGCAAAAGGCCATTTGTCCTCAGATTTCTTCAACGAACCCCTGCTCCAAGAGACTCTTGCATTCTCAGTACTGTAGTACAAGACATCAATTTATGCTGCTTCTGATTATTTGGTCCTTAAGAAGGGCCTTGGGGGAGGGTGGTGGTGGCAGGGGAGTTACTGTCTGGCTTATAGTGCCACAGTGGTCCTTTCCACTGGGATTCAGAAACACATTACTATCGCGCCTAGGACCCCATTCTTCATCTTCAGTTCGTCCTTGTGTCTGCATCCATCATTCTGGTTACATCCATGCTCTGAAGCTGAATGCCTAGATGTTGGAAGACAAATGTTAGATTCAGAAGGCTTTCCTCTTGAAGCGACCTGTAAGTGCTGGCATTGGTAAAACATTCAATTGCTATGATTTATCATAAAGTGGGGTTTTTTTCTCCCCTCCCTCCAGATGGTGTGCTTCCAGAAAATTGTCCTCTTCTGTCATTATTCTGTATGTTATCCAGGATGGTTTAAATAGAAAAGATTATTTTAATGTATTTTGAATTCACACATTTGGAAATGGAGTTTCTTCCATTACCTAAGTTCTCCGGAGCAATAGCCGGAATGAAACCTGGGACAGGAGATATTACTCCTTCCTGGATTTTTTTTTTAAACTTAATCGTATTTATTTATTTTTAATACCTGTACTCTCAAATTTCTAATCTGGGCAGGGGTGTACTTGGTAGCCGTGCAAGCTTGCAGAAAAGCAATTTTCTTGCCATTTTCCAGTTGGCCTAATAAAAGGTATAATTTTGGAACCAACAGTTCTAGTTTTTTGTATGTCTTCTT